CAGTTGGTAAGGCAATACTTCTTACACATTTCTCTAAACTTCTACACTACCGTAATGCAGTTTGAACATCTTTCGGGAATCCAGTTGGTAAGACAATACTTCTTACACATTTCTCTAAACTTCTACACTACCGTAATGCAGTTTGAACATCTTTCGGGAATCCAGTTGGTAAGACAATACTTCTTACACATTTCTCTAGGCTTCTATCTATTACATTGATGCAGTTAAACATATTTGGGATATCTAGTTGGTAAGGCAATACTTCTTACACATTTCTCTAAACTTCTACACTACCGTAATGCAGTTTGAACATCTTTCGGGAATCCAGTTGGTAAGACAATACTTCTTACACATTTCTCTAGGCTTCTATCTATTACATTGATGCAGTTTGAACATCTTTCGGGAATCCAGTTGGTAAGACAATACTTCTTACACATTTCTCTAGGCTTCTATCTATTACATTGATGCAGTTTGAACATCTTTCGGGAATCCAGTTAGTAAGACAATACTTCTTACACATTTCTCTAGGCTTCTATCTATTACATTGATGCAGTTTGAACATCTTTGGGATATCTAGTTGGTAAGGCAATACTTCTTACACATTTCTCTAGGCTTCTATCTGCTGCACTGATGCAGTTAAACATCTTTGAGGCATTCAGTTAGTAAAGCGATACTTTTACTTATCTCTCTAGGCTTCTATCTACTACTGTGATGGAGTTTAAACATCTCTTCAGCACCCATTTACTAAGGTGATATTTCTAACACATCTTTGACCATTTAATTACAAAGTTCATACTTATATCTGTTCTATAGAATCTTACTGCAAGATGTACGTTAGCATCTTCAAGGCTTCCATCTTCTAAGGTTACACTTAATGTATATTTTCCTAGTTTCTAATGATAAAATTAATATTTTTACTTGTTTTTCAAGACTTCGATATTCTAAAAAAGATAAATCCTTACAGTTTGTTTGTATGTAATTAAGCACAAAGCTGCACACCACGGGTATCGAAACCCGGATTCTAGCCTTGTGAGTCCGCAGACATACCGCTGTGCCACTAGGGGGCAAATCATTACAGATCTTCCAGGTTTCCATTACTAGAAAATACTTATCTTCCAGTTGTTAAATCTTCAATGCTTCAATATATCATGGTAATAATTTATTGCACATTCTCTAAGCTTCCACCAATTACTGCTATGCTCTTTAAAAAACGTTTGAGGCTTTCAGTTGCTATGGTGATTTTTCTGACACTTTCCAGACTTTTCACTTCTAAGACACTTAATTATATCTCCAAGCCTTCCATCTTTTAGACATCTTTCTGGTTTCAACTACTAAGGGGAATGCTTCATACACATCTTTCTGGTTTCAACTACTTCATACATATTTTTCGGCTTTTCATGATCTCACAGTTATTTTAGGTTTTTATGTATTATATTGGTAATTGAATACATCTTTTAATCTTCCTTCAACTACAGAGGTACTTGTGCATATAATCCATTACAGTGATACTCTTTACTTTACTTCCGGTGTTTGGATTACTAATAAGGTAATTCTGTAAATGTAATCAAATTTTCTAATTAGTAATTTAATATTATGTATATCCAATTAATCTAATGTAGTGAGACATCATACACGTAGTAATTATACAAATTAAAGGTTCTGACTGATCTTAGGTGCATTCAAGTCTTCCATCTAAAGTCTCTTGGGGTCTGGGAGCAGTGATACCTCTTGGTGGAAGTGGTGGGGCTTCGGAGTTTTCAACTGGAGCAAGGGATTCAGAACGTGTTTCAGATTCAACACTTACAGTCTCTTTTTGGAGAGGGGGAGGTGGAAGTGGAGACTCGTGTGGTATTTTGTCAGTTGTTTCTGTGTTTTTGAGGGGTTTGGATGGAAGCAAGCTGTAGCTACTGTTTTTGCTCAGCAAAGCAGGTTTACGTATAATTGCTTTGTTGTGTACTTTCTTATTGTCTTCACAACACTCCAACGTAGAGTATAGTTTTCTAGGAACTGCGTAATCATGATGGAAAGAACTGGAGTTTAATCGATTTTCCACTATAACTGGAACAGAAGGATGTGATGGAATATTACAATTTGGGTTGTTAGTTCCGTGGACTATTTTCTTTTGTTTGGTAAATTGTGTGATATTAGCCTCAGTGCTAACCAACTGATTCAGAAAGATACTGCTGTTTGGTGGTTTTAGTTGGCGGTACCGTGGAACATGCTGAGAAGTGGACCTTGTAGACCTTTCCGAATTAGTTCTTTCAATAGCTGATTTGTACTCAACAGGTCCACCTCGCCTTCTTGACAGTCGTTCGCTTGATTCCTGTGGAATATGATCTGTAACGAAAGTAATACGCGCAAATAATAATAAAAATTTGTGAAAGATCACACTGTTTTCACAAACAAATATGTTAAATGTACGTTAAGTTGCTTGTAAATCAGTAAAAATGTTGTGATCAGCGTTTGATTTAGTCTTTGGCAGGCAAGATCAACAACCCCAAGAAAAAAAGAACTTATTATACGTTTTATACTTTTTCAACTGAATATTTTTATGCATTTCAGAAACAAAATAAAACATAATAAGAAATTTAAAGTCAATAACAAGAAAAGATGTATTCTACAAAACAATTTTAAATAGTTGCATTTAAGTGTTTTCAATTAACCAAATGTTAACCATGTCTGCCAAAAATTACATAACCAAGTCCTAATAGATGTGAAACCATGGCGTGCTTTAAACTTTAATTTCAGCCTGGTTCCGTCGTTGCATAGACTCCACTAGTTTCTGGGGTATATCATGTTTGATATTCATCCATTTCTCAAGCTATATTGCCTCCAAGTCAGCTAAAGTTGAATGAAAAGAGCAGCATGTTATAATGCATCCTGCAGATTCGCATTTGGATTAAGAAAATGGTGGAACTCCTTTCATTGCTTTTAAAACAAATTACAGCACGTAGATAGCGGTATTATAATCTTGAAAATATCCATCAACTTGATGGTAAAAATGGAGTGTAAGTGGGTGCCCTTTGTCTCTAAGATACTTAAATATTTACGGGATGTAATGCGACCATCCACGTGCCAGTGATTGGTTTGAAAAGCATGAAAATGAGATATACCTTGTTCTCAACCCAAATGAGAATCTGTAAGATGTATTAAAGCGGGCTGTCCTTTACGTCCCAAAGATTTTGGTCTGGGGTAAACTAATGGTTAATGGTTAGCATTCCTCGACTATGAATTCGAGGATTTATGGTTTGCGTTCTGTTGACGCAAAATCGCGCTCTGCACTTTGGGGCTTAGGATGCGTTATAAAAGTCTTGGATTACTCTTGTATGACGATATAATACCATTACATCGTCACACAAGAGTAACCCAAGAGTCGGCGGTGGTTGGTGTGCACTGTTGACTAACTTCCCTCTAATCTATTATTTGAAAATTCTTTATTGTTTATTTGTAATTAAGCACAAAGCTACACAATGGGCTATCTGTGCTCTGCCCACCACGGGTATCGAAACACGGATTCTAGCGTTGCAAGTCCGCAGACATACCACTGTGCCACTAGGAGGCTTTGAAAATTAGTAAATACTATGTATTAAAACCCTTTGTGTTCTAAATCAAACAAGCATTCTAAAGTTTCATAGGACAGTCACCAAAATACGACTTTCCCATCCTACAGACTAGTGTGTATTGAAAATAACCTGACCACATGACAAATTTTCACTGGTCAACAGCTAAATTCCAATGGTTCTTGCACCACTATAGATGCACTTTCCGTTGGCAACTGAAACCACTGGTTTGCGAACAGAACACATGTTTTCAAAACTCGTTTCTCGCAGCCCTCTCTGCGTTTTTCTTATTGAAATTGAAGTTCTTGACCCTTTTCGATATCATCTGCCAATTGCCTTACTTGTGAAACGCCTACTGATCTTCACAAGTTTATCTAACTGTCGCCTATTCGTGTTTTGAAACATTTTCGTTTATTTAGATATTTTTTGATTAAATTTCTACCACACTTGTGAGATGGACGCTTTTCATTTCGCAGTCAGTTCCATTATTTTGGTTAAAGAGGTCCAACTAACCGGACACAATATTGCCTTATTAAAAGTCAGACACATCTTTAACATTAATGAAGACTGAATAACAAAGAAGCTTGCTTACGCTATTGATACTGTTGCGGTAGTTGACACATTTCGTTTTCTGTTTACTCACCAAGTAAAAGGAGATTCAAAAAAAAAACTAATTGCGGATTTTTTACATTTTTGGTCAAATAATTTACAATACATTGGCTTATCCCCCCTTTCTTTTCACTTGTACATTCATATTTTTATATCTCAAAAATTCAAGTATATATTAACAGTAATTTTCTCACTACTGTTTAAACATTCATCCCCTTTTTTTAAAGATTACAACAATTCCAATTATTATTATTTTTACAAATGTTGGTGTTTTGAGTCATTCAAACAAGTTTTTCGTTATATTTGTGTATCTTAATTCATTAGTAGCCTGATTTCTTCGTACAACTATAATGTAAGCTCATATAACTCTGATGACTCAAACAAAGCCACCGTTTATTATTTCCATATGCAGATAATTTTTACAAAGCTACTTTTGCCACAAAGTCCTCATAATCTGATTTGACACTTTTCTAACAGTATTGAAATTTCAGAGCTACACCGATGTAACCACTTACTTCTTGAGGTTTTGAATTATTTCCAACAAATCCTTGTGAAGCTACACTTTATTTTTACTAATACAAAAATTGGTTACGTCAAGAACATAGACGAGCTTTCTTCTAAACATACCCTAATACAGACAAAAAATATGCCCAGTTGAATTCTTTTAAATGTAACTTCCTAAAAGTCTAAGACAACCACATTTTCGGTAAATGTAAATATATCATAGTTAAACCCTTAAATTTCCGACTTGTTTTTATACCGTTCACTTCGGTGAGGTCCACATGTTATATTATATTGAGTAAATTTCTCTTTCTGCTTCTTACAGAAATCAGTGTAAAGAACTGACTAAAATTAGGTAAACTATTTTTTTTCTAAATCAAACACAGAAGTGACCAAAGCAGGAGCAGGTATTAATATAATATTATCGATATTTTTTAGCATTTTGTTTGTGTGACCCATTTGTTATTATGGATTCTGCAACAAACATAATCATAGGTTCACAAGTAATTTAGTGTATAAATAATGGAGAAAAATGTGTATGAAAAACCATGAAGTCTGGAGTCCATTGGTAATTCTAAGTAAAACATTTTCAACTGTTTCTTCATGCCTACTTTTTTAGGATAATAGGTGTTATTGTTGTTGTTTTTTTGTTACTTGTAATAAATGAGAAAAGCATGTTTTTATGTATATTTTAAATTATAAAGGTAAACTAAGCTATACACCCATACGGACACTGTATTAGTAATATTTTGTTCTAAAGAGATTTAGTTTAGTTAAAAATTCGTTCATTATTTGAAACCTTTAAAGTGTTATACGTTAAGGACTAGACCAATATTTCGGTAACAATGCATGACTATGTACAAAATCAAGTTTGAATCAAGCAAAATAAATACGAAATTCATAAGTAAGTACGCAGAAGAATTGAAAGGTTGAGCATTTGTATTAAAACTCGAAAAATTATCCTTTGTTTTACTATAGGTCTATTTTGGAAATAATTCAAAACCTCAAGAGGTAAGTGTTTATATCGGCGTGACTCTGAAATTTCAACGTTGTTAGAAATGTTTCAAATGAGGTTATGATAACTTTGTAGACATTCGTATTAAAAACTATCGATATATCTCATTATTCTTAATATAAGGTCATTTTAAACTCATGCGTTATACATGTATACCATTATAACTGTAGCTATCATTGACTTGTAACTGAAGTGACATACCTGTAAGGAATGTTGGTAAAGAGCCCCTAATGTTTGTGGTATTCTCTGCTGACTCTTCACTTGTTTTGATGTTGTAAACACCAATGTTATAATATACATATTCTGCCTTTTTGTTGAGGGCGCTGTTCTGAGGAAGCATATTGTAGTAACTACTATCAGAATGGTCCAAACTCACTCTAACATGAGGCACGTTCTTACAATTGAGGTTTTCGCAGTTGGCCATTTGTTGATGGGGATCGAGCAGCTGATTCGGAAACTTCCCAGTGGATGAGCTGCTGCCTTTGGGTGATTTCTGCAGATTTGGGGGACGAGGAGGGGGAACAGGAGGACGTTTCACTTGTCCTTCGACCAGAGTTATCATCTTTTTCATTTTTAAATCATTCTTGTAATATAAATAAAAAAACAAACAAACACATAAAACAAGAACAATCTAACATGTAAAATGCTACAGACAATGTTTATAAAATATGTTACATAATATTGAGAACTGTAACAACATTTGTATTTTGTTAAACTCGTTATTTTAATTGGAGATTATTATTTAGTAAATAAACATGCGTCTATCATTTTTCCTTATTTTTGTGTAATATATTATACGTTTAAATCGTAAAGACTTGTGTAATGTATCACTTTTTCCAAATTAAGTCACATTATAAAAAGAGGCGTCGGAACAGGGTATGCTGTAGCCCCCCCCCACTTTTACATATTTAACTTATATAACAACTGTAAATTATTTTAATGTTT